ATATCTAGTTTTATTGATCTTCTCGAAGTACTCCAGAGCAGGCACATAGCACTGACTCTCCACCTTCAAGCTCATTTCTTCTCTGAAGGACTCCTTGGTGGTGTGCGTGTGTGTGTGTGAGTGTGTGTGTGTGCGTGTGCGTGTATGTGTGTGTGTGTGTTCACTATCAACTCAAATGACTCCAAACTTGCCACCATGCCCTCCGTTGTGTACACAAAACCTCAACACTAATCATGTTCAAAACCTACCAAAGGAGTGTGTTGGGGACATGCTGAAAAGGGGGAGAGGAAATAAAAAATGTCAAAGTTCCGAGACTGAAATTGTAACACAATGAGGAAATAAAAGTTTGTATTGTGCGGAGAATGTGGTTGTTTTTGTACAGAAGTAAAATAATGAGTTTCATCTTTTATTCTCATAGTGTTACCACTTGGCTCATAAAATTAAGAATTTGACTGATTTTTTTATTGTCTTTTTTTTTTTTTTTTTTTTTTTTTTTTTTTTTCGATTTTTTTTTTGTTTTTTTTTTTTTTTTTTTTTTTTTTTTGTATTTTCCGACTTTATTCTTGTAAAATGCCCAAAAATTATAACCGGTTCTAATGCCGCGGTTCCTCTTACTTTGGCAAAACTACCGTAAATCAAAGCCGACATGGCCGCCACCATTTTACGCTTTCCCACCAACACTTTTTTTTAAGCCACGTACGTAACAGATAACCGTGACGAGGCAAGTTTATTTCCGCAAATAACAAAAAATAGGATTTAAAAAAAAACATGAATGTCCAACTGTGATTATACGAACGCCCACTGTACTATTTCAGTTTTATCAAATCAACACAAGTATTATACAATATCTACTTCTTCCTCTTCGTGTTATGACATTCTTATTTACATACACCTTTATTCTTGGAAAACGACTTTTTTTTTTTCTCCTGTAATATGAGTTTACTCTTTTAAATGACTTTATTATTATGTAATGATGGCATTTTTTCAGAGGGGGGTACTTTTCAGCATGGTCCTAACACTCTCACCTGGTAAGAACGTGCCCATGTAGCAGCTCACATGGAAGACCCCCCCCCCCCTCAATCCCAACCACCATATGCACTCGACTGACAACTGTTGTGGATTTCGTTCGTGCTTGAGTCTTTTGTTGTTCTTGTTGTTGTGACGAGTGTCAAGGTCGTTGCCATGACGTACTGTAGCTGCGCTCACACTGCCCCCGCGGTGACGACGACCACACGTTAGCTCTATGCATTGTATCCTCTTTCTTGTAGCAAGGAGTGTGCCAGCGTTTATTACGGGCCTTTCGGAAAGTGCCTTCTGTAGAAGACGCCATATCTCCTCGCAGCCCCCCCCAACATCACCCCTAAATCTGCTCGTTTTTGTGGCCGTGTTCATTTCCGATGCGGGGCTGCAGCGGCGAATGCGTGACAAAGGCCAACTTGTATCATTTTTGTTTGTGAAAAGAAGGTCGGAGGCCAATGTGGCGTCCAAACGGGTTCAACTTCTCAGAATGCACTCCAGGGCTAGACAGACCACTGTGTAACTAATATCCTTATATCTCGTAACATGTATTTAACAACATAGAGTATGCAGACGCACACACACACACAAATCTAAATATAAATATATATATACATATACAGTATATAAATCTATAAAAGATATATTCCCGTGTATTTTCGCTAGGTCACGTGCCTGGGAAGGTCTGGCAGTCACGTTAGCATGTTTGTTTGCGTTCTCTTTTTGTGGTTGGTGGTCAGTCACTTATCGATGTTCTCCTGAAAAGAAGAGACACTATGAAGCAACAGTTGCAGGGTAATATCTTGAGCGCGTCATCCGTTTCGCGATGTTCCCCACTATTATTTAATGTTGCTTTGAGTAGGAAGGAAGAACTAGGAGGGCCTTCCTGCAAACGTTACTTTCTCGTGCCAAAATCCACAAAAAAATGTCTTTAGCCCTTCATGTCTGTTTGTTTTGCACTTGTTTAGCTGTGAACTGAAAACGCGTCACTGTTGCCACGTTTCCAGTAGACTACCGACACTAGGTACTATCATTTCTACTGTAACTAACTTTTTTTTTTCTTAAATGTCTCACATCAGTTCCTTACATTTCATCAAGGGCCTTTTTATTCCGATGACATAAAAAAAAAAAAAGGATCACATATTTGAATGATTCAAAAATAAAGAAGGGATCTATTGTTGCACAGCTTTTTCAGAGGAAATGTTCCACCAGTTTGACTATTGGGCTTTAAAAATGACTAAAGGAAAAAAACAACAAAAAAAAAAAATTAAAAAAGCAAAGTGCAATGTTACTATTTTTCTGTGTAGATACTAGCATGTTAGAGGAAAATGCGGGATACAACATGGAGTGGTTGTGCGACGCGATGCCAGGTACTGATTGAACGTCTCTTTATATGAACAGAATGTGATTTGTATGTTGAGACATTAACATGACAATAAAAGTATTTTTTTTTGTCTGTATCACAACTTTGACTGTCAGTGTTTAATTGAAGTGCTCCCATCATAATAAATGCCGCACGCTCACCGGACACGTCATTACAGATTAACATCCAGTACAAAATAGTCAAAGATTTGATTTTGCAGAGGTATTAATGGAATAACATAATAATAGTAGTTTACAGGGTTTCACTTTGCATCATCTCTTAGTTATAAAATTTTATTCTAAAAAAATCATCCAAAATTTGAGCATTTATTATGTTTAATTACAACTCAAAGAATATTCATGGTATTATTTTACCCGGAGAAAACCTAACCAGGCATGGGGAGAAGATGCAAACTCAACACAGGAAGGCCGGGGCCGGAATCGAACCCTGCCCTTTTGCACTGTGAGGCCTATGTACTAACCAGTAGTTCACCCTGGGGCCCCTTTCCAATTTTTAATCTGTAAAATGAATTTTGATATAAAATGATAGAATGGAAGAATGGAAATACAGAAAATCCTACCCCACAAATAAATGGCAAAAAAAAAGTGTTAATTGTTTTTTTTTTTTGTTTTTCTTTTAAAGAAAACCGCACTCTACTGTTGCTCTTTACAAAAGCATACAGCAATAACATAATTAAATCGAATGTGAAGAATTGGATCGTTTCTGCATCATGATTTCATGCTTTAATTGCCAGGGTGTCTTCTGGTGTGTGCACTTTGGCCACCAGGGGGCAGAATAATACAAATATTGAGTTATGCTAGACGTCATTTGGGCGGTGAAGCACAGACAATGCAACTCAGCTGTTGCAGAGGATAAAGAATATATGCAAGTGAGTATTGTTTCATTATCTGCACATATTGCTTTCATTTCAAATCAAATATACTGGGTTGAAAGTCGAGGTACCACTCTAATCAGTTTTAATCATAGATCTTCCAGTTTGATTGTTTTTCGTTCGCAAGCTGTGCCGTGATTGTTACCTGAGCGCAGATAAACTGGGATGGCATTTTCAATCGGTGACAAAATGGCTGCAGCCTTGAGATGAGTAAAAAATATCCATCAAAATAGTGTGGTTAGATTCGTGGAGCCGCAGAGAACTTAAAAACATGTTACTCTAAAAATTGGGGTTGAAAATGTTAAATGTTTAAATACAGTATTTTTTTTAGAACTTTTGTAGTGTGGCTAATATTTTGTTCCAGAATATATTCCAAAATAGTTTTTTTTTAATTCTAGAAATTATATTTTCAAAAGTTATGACCATTTTGTTGAAATAGTTTCATTGTATTTTACAATATGACATGTTCAAATATTTTATTCGAAACAAAAAGGTATTCTGGTTAGTATTTTACTCCCCAAAAATGAAATCTAAACGAACTTTTTTTTTTCCTAAAAATACCATTCTCAAATCTTGCAAACTTAACATTTAAAATTTTGCTAACGTTTAAGAACGTTATACAGTACAAAACGGGTTGTATCTAACAAGATTTTATACTTAAACAGCATAAAAACATTTGTTCTTGCCAACAGACAACTTTTAAGGTCATACACTTGAAAAATAATCACGGTAAACGAGTGAGGTGTTGGCAAGTGTCTCTCATTTATGCCCCCACCCAAGTTCACTGCTTCAGTTACAGTCGCTATTTCAATCACGGTATCGGCATTTCTTTGACAATAAATCCAGCAAAGATGACGTTCGCTGATAACCAATATGGCCAAAAGTATCAGGTCACTATTCTCAATGAATGACTCAATCAGTTGGGGCTCGCACTTGGCCCATGAGTTGCACCTTAAGGTCCACAAAGCCATGAGGCTTGAATAAATGCAACACAGAGACCTCGTAAGTTGTTGGAAGCCTGCGACACAGGTGGCCGAGTGCACCTGCCCACAGTGGGTTGCCAGTTATTTGAGGGCCCCCCGAAGCCAGCTGTTTCTCCTCCTATCCTTTGCTAGGCCCGACTACAGAGATGCAGGCAACCTTGTGTTCTTACTACAGTCATGCCTCATCAATCTGCACCTGTTTTTTTTTTTTTTTTTTGAGCCGATTATTATGTGAGCTGTAATGACCGGAAAGCACATTCATCACACTTTAGTTGTTTATTTAATGAAAAACCCCACGCGTGAAAAGACAAGCACTCTGTACTGGGGAAATAGAAGTACTATGCTTAATGAAAGTCCCACATAATGAATTGATCCACAGGTCAAAATAATAGGTACACCTGCACAATCAACTACGTTCCTAATTTAAGAATTAATTTCGTGTTTTCTGGGAAAAAATAATAATGGATAGGTTACATTCTTCATCGCCTTTTCTTTCCGTTTTGGATCCCATTAGCGCCCCCTTGTGGAGCGTTCTTCCGTCGTCGTGACAGGCGCTCAGCGGTGGATGGACACACGCACACACACACACACACACGCACACGCACACGCACACGCACACACACACACACACATACACACGCTTCTCTCTCTCTCTCTCTCTCTCTCTCTCTCTCTCTCTCTCTCTCTCTCTCTCTCTCTCTCTCTCCCTCTCTCTCTCTCTCCCCCAGTCACGCGCGCACTAGCGCACGCGCGCATGCACACAAACTCACTAGTCCAGTGGTCGAGTAAACGCAGCCTCCTTTACTCGACCGACGACGGCCGCCGGAGCATGTAGTACTCTGCGGCTATTTGGGCTCCAAACGCCTGCAACAGTAAGACGACACTCGCCTGGCGAAAGTGCCATCGAGGTGGCGGGAGGAGGAAGCTCAGATGGAAGACGGCTAGAGCAAAATATCCCCACCGTGGAGCCATTTCTTCCTCTTCTTTTTAATTTCTATTATTAAGCTGTTTTTTTTTTGTTTTGTTTTTTTTTGGAAGGTTGTTCCTCACTGCGCCGCCCCGGACTGTAGCTGTCATCGGCGGCTTCAGGCCGTCGTCGTCGTCTACCATGGCGAGCGGTGACTCGCATTTGGTTGTTATTGGTTAAAACTTCCAATTCGGATGCTAAATGCCGCTGTCGAGCTGCTTTTTCGGGCTTTTTTAATGTGTTCGCGTCGCCCTAAACAATTGACGGGAGCTCCAGAAAGAGAGTGAAAAGAGGGAGATTGTTTGTTCTCGTGGTTCCCCGGGCGTTATGGCTGATGAGTGGGGCTGGGGACGCCGGCCAAGGCTCTCCAAGGCTCCCCCATGCTAGCCGAGGCGGATGGCACGGTCCCCCATGGCAGCGACAGCTCTATGAGGACAAGCAATAGCGACCCTGCGCCGCCCAAAGCCTCTGCCGCCGCCGCTGACTCCTCGATCCTCATCTCCAAAATGCAAGACGTCGTCATTCCCTTCTCGTCCGAGGTCCCCTGTGACAATAATGGGCAGCGCATGTGGTGGGCGTTCCTCGCCTCCTCCATGGTGACCTTCTTCGGGGGGCTCTTCATCATCCTGCTGTGGAGGACCCTCAAGTACCTGTGGACCGTGTGCTGCCACTGCAACGTTAAAAGCAAGGTAAGAGCCTGCCTTGTTTATGTCTCCGGTGGCTGGAAATCAAGTGGCACGGGGCCACAGTGTGCGTGCTACACTTCGGGGGAAATGGGATGGCACAGTGAGCCATGTGGTTAGCGGGGCTTGCCTTGCAGTCCGAAGGACCCAGGCTTGATCTCTACGTGCTTTGGTAGATTGACTCCCAAGTGCTGTGACTCCAAACTGCCCAAAGCTGTGAATGTGAGTGCTTATTTGTCAAGGTGCCCAATGATTGATAGGTGACTACTCCAGGTTGTGCGCCACTTCTCTCACCAAAAAGTCTCCAGATCTTCTTGATCGAAGCATCAGCGATTGGCTAGTTATATCCTTTTTTTTTTTTTTTACTACTTTTGCACCCTATTCAAAGAAACAGAACCTAATCAGCAGTCTAAAATCGATACATGATAGATCGGACCAAATAAATATTATTGGACGAGAAACATTTGTGATAGACTGGCGAACAGTCCAGGGTGCAACCCACCTCACTTGGCAAAAACTCAGCTCAGCTTACCCACCCTTTTGGTTTAGAATCCTCCTCACTCGCTCCCAGCTATCTGTTCCATCCATGAACTGTTTATGTATTAGTGGGCTGCATTGATTTGAATCATGATTCTGACTCACATGTATTGTTGGAGGCTGGGGTATGGTGCAAATGCGCCCCCCCCCCCCCACACACACACACTTCTCCCTGACTGCAATGTGCTTTATTTCATCATGGCTGCTGATGGGAGCGACGTGGATATTTGAGATGTAAATAAGTCTTGTCGGTCCGTCTTCGGTGAAAGTAGAAGGGTGATTTAAAGAGCGTCATGATGGATGGATGGATGGGTGAGTGAGGGAGGGAGGGGGGAGAGAGCTGCTCTGACCTTGATGTGTTGGCGCCGTGTTCCAGTTCAGATGAAAGTGCGAGTTACTGTATATCCCCTTGCTCCAAGACTTCCGTGTCACGTTGTTAAACTCACTTTTTCATTGTGTGTGTGTGTGTGTGTGTGTGTGTGTGTGTGTGTGTGTGTGTGTGTGTGTGTGTGTGTGTGGTCTCTGATGCTCCCCAGTGGCTTGTTGTACTCTAGGTTCGATTTCTTGATCTTGGTCTGGTCTCGTAATCTGCTGTATTTCAAATCATGTCAGACTCGGCGGAGTCTGGATATCTGCCTCCGAATATACTGTCTTGCACTAACCCTTTAACGTTACAGAGATGAATACAACCAACTACTTGAACAAAGAATGACAAATGTTATCATATATTGGTCAAGTTCTTTAATATTTTGGTATTGATGGGATGACGGTTTTTTAAAGTCTTGAGTTCGTCAAAGTTCCTAAAAGACTTGGTCTTTGACCCTTTCAAGGCTTGGTCTCGGCTCCTTTAGAGGCTTGACTTTTGTTACCTGTACTTTAAAGTCTTCATTTTGACATAACCAGGGTTCTTTAAATTCCTGGTGTTGGCTTTGGTTTTGGATGCAGTCTTGGTCTTGTTTTGACTTGGTCATGTTCTTTCATACAACGGTCTTGATTTTATTCCAGCTCTTTTAAATTGGCCTCTGTTTCTAGAAGGTCATCAGTTTGACTTGGGCTCGAACGCATTGAAGTCTTAGATTTTTGTTCTGTAAAATCTGAAATAAATCTTGGTCTTGACCGAACCAGATTAGATCATTCTTAACTCAGTGCCTTTTAATTATTTACTGGGAAATTCAAAAAAACCCTCAGAAAACTTTGACAAAAACAAAAACATTGTACAAAGATGAGTGGTTTCTTTCTGGGCTGAAGTTGCAACCTCCCTCAAAAGTTTGGTACAAATCTGTTCATCGGTTTTGGTGTAATCCCACTAAATAACAAACCCGCGGATCTGAAAACATAATTAACCTCGTGACATCCTGCACACATTTATCATCAAGCATCCACAACTTTCATGCTCACTTGATCTATTTTGCCTGGAAAAACGTGCAAGCACCAGTTGCATCATCTAAAAGGCAAAATTTAATTCCTTGAATCAATAGCGGGCTCCCCATTTGAACTGAGCGATGATTTGGACCCCATTGCGATGCAGGCTATAACTTGAATGTAACTCTCTCAGCGTTCTGTACATAAGAAATGACTCCAAGCCATCCTTAAAACCGTCTCACACGGATACAGATGAAAATAAACCACGCAAGTATAATTAGTAATCCATCTTGTGACTGCTGGTGTGGATCTGCTTCTGACCCCTTACAAAAGAAGAAGAAACCATGTTCCAGCACCCACTTTTTTTTTTTTTTTAATTTTGGAAGGCTGCGTCATACCGTTGGGTGACTTTGGTGGGCTTGTCACTTGGCTGCAGAGGGAAGAGGCTCGTTAGGAGTATTAGAGAGGTGGAAACAGGATCTGCGTTCAGATGACTGGAGCGGCCGACTAAAACCGCAAGTGTCGAGAATGGGATGCATCTTCGTTTGGCTGGGGGAGGGAGGGGGAGGGGGGGCAAGACTTTCTCTGGGATGATGTGAGAATGCGAGAGGAAGGCGGAAGTGAAGTCAGTGCGAAATGAGCCTGTCGCCATTGACACGCAGCTGTGTCCTAATTCTTGGAAGTGATTGTTGTCTCTGTCAGGGCTTTAAGGAGGATAATTGGAGAGGGAGATCAGTGGATGCAGGAAGTGTCAAGTTTCTTCCCGGAAACACCAGTTAGCATAGCGACAGTGGTTCCCAATCTTTATTCAACCAAGGCACAAGATTTGTTTTCTGTGTGTTTTTACTTGTTCCTCTCTGCTGTTTGGTTATCTAATAGTCTAGTTTATCGACTCTGCGTCACGCCACCTCCAGAAGTTCTTACATGATACCTCTGCTAGTGGAGATGCGTGTGGGAGGGCGGAGCATCGGAGCTTTTCGAACATGAATGGTATCATCGTCTGTTTGGGAGGCTGGTGGAAACATGACATTGCTAGTCAGATTCAGAGATTTTTTATTTCTGTTGGGGATGGGAGAACCTCTGCCTGAATGTTCTTAACTCTGTTGTATCGCGCGAAACAATTTAGCCCGGCACAGTTGCTATAACAGATGATTGCGTGGATGTAGCTCAACATCCCATAACTGGCATCATTTTGCCTTCCTTTTGCCGGCAAACTTTTTTTTTTGCAGCACAGAGGTGCACTTAAGCATTTTGCCCGTAGACACCATCAACCAACATTTTTTTAAGAATGAAAAGCCTGTTTTCTGTCTACCAAAATTGACATCTGGAGACCCTCAGGGGTCATTCTTGCCTCCCCTTGCAATTCATTTCATTCTGTGAACGCACTTTCTTTTTTTAGGCCCCCACCACACAGCTTTGCCACACTTTGCACACACACTGTTCTCAGTAATAAGAACAACTTTTTTAGACTGTTTAGAAAATTGAAGCAATTTTTTTCCCCTCCATTCAGTATCCACAATTTGTCCCTCCAGCATTTCTGCTGACATCTGCCTTGTTTATGTCTCATTTCTTGTCCTTGGTATCACACAGGTCCACTTTCAAAGCCAGCAGTAGGGCAAATTTCCAAACCCTTCCCTACAGTGTGTTTCATGCCCCGCTCACGTCCGTCATTGATTGCGACATTATTTTCACTGGCATCCGCGAAGTTCAAGACATTGGGTCCAAATTATTCCAAAAGACCCGCACCAGGGCTTTTGATCACATCTCCCGACTTCTAATTCTGCCCGGCTTGTAGTTCAGCCAAGGACACGGGGATTTTACTGCTTAAGCCCACATATAACTTTCTTCCCACATACCTGGGTTTAATATCAGCCCTTCATCTCTGATGTATTGTTTATTCCTCGGCTGGCTGGGAAGCTGCCATAAAGTGTAAGGGTTATTAATTGATGATTATGTTGCCCTATTGAGGACAACCCGCCTACATGAAACTCGAGAGTGTATTTGAACGCGACGCAGCATACGTCCAACGAGTACATTAGTGTGTTTTGGTCAGCGGCGGCTGATGCAGCTTCTGTACTAATAAGCACATTCAACGTCACCCACCCTCACCTCCCCCTCGCAAGGTTGCAAACCGAGCGTGTTAATGTGCACTTTAGAGTCGACAGCTGTCAGAACCGTACAATTGTTTCTGTCCAAACAGCTCAAGGAGAAGGTTGACGTTGCAGTGTACCTGCCACCCCTCTTGTGTAACTTCCGCTCATGACATTTAGCTTCGTCATCTAATGTAGCTCACGTTTTGGGGGGATTTATTATTATTTACGTAGCCTTTCCTCTCGCTTCCTGTGGTGAATGACACGATGGGCCACAAATCAGACACAAACGGTCGCAAACAGTTGCATTTTCACTGTTGCACTTCATTAGCTTTAAACAAAAGGCAAAATTTAATTCCTTGAATCAATAGCGGGCTCCCCATTTGAACTGAGCGATGATTTGGACCCCATTGCGATGCAGGCTATAACTTGAATGTAACTCTCTCAGCGTTCTGTACATAAGAAATGACTCCAAGCCATCCTTAAAACCGTCTCACACGGATACAGATGAAAATAAACCACGCAAGTATAATTAGTAATCCATCTTGTGACTGCTGGTGTGGATCTGCTTCTGACCCCTTACAAAAGAAGAAGAAACCATGTTCCAGCACCCACTTTTTTTTTTTTTTTAATTTTGGAAGGCTGCGTCATACCGTTGGGTGACTTTGGTGGGCTTGTCACTTGGCTGCAGAGGGAAGAGGCTCGTTAGGAGTATTAGAGAGGTGGAAACAGGATCTGCGTTCAGATGACTGGAGCGGCCGACTAAAACCGCAAGTGTCGAGAACGGGATGCATCTTCGTTTGGCTGGGGGAGGGAGGGGGAGGGGGGGCAAGACTTTCTCTGGGATGATGTGAGAATGCGAGAGGAAGGCGGAAGTGAAGTCAGTGCGAAATGAGCCTGTCGCCATTGACACGCAGCTGTGTCCTAATTCTTGGAAGTGATTGTTGTCTCTGTCAGGGCTTTAAGGAGGATAATTGGAGAGGGAGATCAGTGGATGCAGGAAGTGTCAAGTTTCTT